CCCCCCCATGTCTTCATACACGTACTTTGGGTTGACATAGAGCCTGGTAAATTAGAATAGCATCACAGGCAGAAAAATAAGCAATATTGGTACTTCTCCACTAGGTGGGCTGTGATAACCTGGTAAGTACTGGCAGAGTTGTACTTGGCATAGAAGAGAAGCCGAGATTTCTCTGAAGTCCTGGACAGCCAGTTCTTCCCCATGAAGAGAAACCACTGCTACAGAAACCAGAATACTGAGCCAGTGGAGATTGTAGCCAGGACCTGAACTGGTCTTTATTTCAGATACCCTTGCTGGGGGATTTGCAGTGCCACTGCTTCAAGAATTAACCCCCTCTCACTCCTAAAGTAGAGAAGATCTCACTAAATTGCTGAGACCGGTCTTGAACTTGCCATCCTCCTGCCTCAGCCTTTTCTGTTGCTGGAATTACAGACCTGTGCCACCATGCCAGGCTCACAACATGCTTTTAAATTTACCATGGACACAACCTAGCAGAAAGATACAGGCCTCACATGTGGCCAACTGCTGACCCACACCCTTGATGATAGTGCCTCTGTGTACCTTCCAGGTTCAGTTCTAGTAGCCCTCAGTCACTGGCCTCTCAAAGATCACCAGAAGCCTCTATATCAGCAATGGTATAGCTGCCAAAAACAAGCTCTTGCTGTCCAGAAACCATATCACCTCATCATCAACATCTGGAAGGAAGTGGTAATACCTTCTATGAGTATATCCAGTACTCACAGCTGCCTGTGGTTAATGCACCCATCTCACAGCTCTGTCTTCTTTGACCCCATTCCCGACCACATTTACAATGTGGAAATGAAGCAGGGCCTTATGCTGCTAACAGTGTGCTGCTGGGGGTGAATCTCTCAGTCACTTTGTGCCTTGCTTACCCCATGAAGTACCAAGCAAGATGCCCACATATGAACCAAGTCAAGCTGGCCCATCATCCAAACAAACAAGGTCTTTGGGAGCAGCTCATCTACTACGAGTTCCAGGTGTTTGGACAGAATACTGTGCACATGGTAACTCCCTAATGGAAGTGATCCCTGACATCTATGAGAAGGAGATCCATTTGATGATTCCACTGTAAATCATCCCCCAGCTCCTTGCTTTAAGGTCAGTGTACAGACCTATTGTTGATCCTATACCAGGATACAAACTTGAACAATCTACCTTTGTTGATACACAAATACACCAGATGATTCCTTTTATAAGGGCAAGAAAAAAAGAGTTGCTATAGCTTTCAACTTCGTAATCCATATCATTGAAAATCAAATTCATTAATTATTAGACAGTGAAGATAAGTTTTCTAACCTATGACTAACAGGCGATGGCTACTGACCAGAGGGTTAAGTAAAGCAGGTGGTACTGAGGACAAACAGACCAGCACCCTATGCCTATGATAGGCCTGTGTCGTGCTGCCCTTCTCCAGACTGACCTACTCAGAATGGGTCTGCTACAATTACACTTTCCTCAAACCCAACGCCAGAGCCTTAAGCGTCATGGCAGCCACTAAACATTTCACATTAAGTGCCAACTTAGTAGATAAGCTGCCTTTAAGCAATGCTCTAGGAATCCTAGGGACCCCAAGCAACCCCATGTCCATTTTCACCACACTGGTCCTACTCTGGTTTTCTAGATAAGACTTATAGAGATAGTTTTCAAATAAAGCATTCTACTGTATTAAAAAAAAGAATAAAATAAGAATTCATACTCCATTTGAATCAAATGTATGATATATGATATGTCAAGATCATTGTAATGTTTTGAGCAACCAATAAATAAATAAATAAATGGGATTTATTGATAATATTAATATATTTTCCATGTCACAAAAAAAAAAGAATAAGCAATGTTATACAGGCAAGGAAAGACTATGAGAGTATTGAGGAAAGGAGGGAGGAAATATATCTGATGAGAAGGACCACTCTAGGTACTAAATGACTTGATAACCAAGCACAGAAATTGAGACTTGAATTGGGAGAGGTCTGAGAGATACCCAAAATGTCATGAGTTAAAGTTTTTTTTGTGTGCTTTTTCAACTAAAACAATTTAGAAAGTATTTATAGATTGCCAATGTAAGTGAATGAACATGTAAATTTATCAAACTTTTTATTTGATTTTTCTTAGATATACATGACAGTAGAGTATATTTTGACATATTATACATTCATGGAGCGTAATTTATTCTAATTAGGATCCCATTCTTGTGGTTTTACATGATGTGGAGATTCATTGGTCAAGTGTTCATATGTGAACATAGGAAAAATAGAACTTTTAAGCAAATCTTGAACTTTGGGGACAATTCAAATAAATATTTCTTATCAATTCAGCTTAAGAAATTTTTAAAAAATATTAATTTCTGTTCTCCTTCCAAGGAAGTTCTGCTAATTAATCCTGACCCCAGAAATAGATCTTAAGAATTTTTGACAGCTTCATATATTTGTATATGTGTGTGTGTGTATTTGTGTCTGTGTGTGTATAATTTCCATCAAACTAGTATATATCTACTACCAACAAATTCTAGTATTTCCAAGTCCTATAACCATTACCTCCTAGAGAGGTGCACCTGATTATTCTTCAGAATACAATTCTTTAGTCATAGCCCATTACTAGGTGGCTCCTGCACACATTTGAATAACTGTCCAAGGTATTTCACAAAATGTTGCCACAAAAGATCTATATTACTTTAAAACATTAACAACTTCTCATGAGAAAATATTTTTTTTGCCAGAATATCTTTCCTAATTTTTTTCACTTCTGACTGGAAACAGATTCTACCACTAAGAGTAGCAGGAGTGGAACAAGTATTTTAATTTAGTTTGTACCTGAAGAAAATCACGGGGGGGGAAAAAAACGAAACTTAAACCACTAAAGAGGTGGTTTTTCATATTTTTTATTACAACCCATAGGATGAACCATTTTATGTCATGAACCAGTATAATAATCATATGTACCTTAAATATTAATAATTCTGCTCACTTTGAGGTATGCCCAAGGATTTTTTTAAAAAATTCTATTTTACTTGAACTTTGAATTTCTAAGAATTGTTAATCAGAACCCAATAATTTGTTTGCCTCAGTTAACATAAATCCCTAGAGACATTTTGACTTATTCTGTATGCATGTGGGATAATCTTATTAACTTAGCAATTAGTAAATCACTTCAATAATACTAATCATGAATGATTTTTAACATTCTGAGGAACATATCATCCCACATGTTGTTACTATAATAATTTTGTCACAGAACATTGCTACTTAGCATTATTCTTGCAGAAATACATTTCATTATATCCCCAAGAATTAATGCAATTAACACATCTACAGCCATCCCTGAAGCCTTCCTATAAAAAACCCCTGTTGCTCTCTACCAACAAAAGATAGAGACTCCTTTATGAAGCTGACTCCCAAAATCCAACATCCCCACCAGATCATAAAGAAAACCATCTCAGCTAAAAGCTAAGCAACACTAATGCCTGAAAATGAGTGAAAAGTTCACTACCTCCTGGTACAGAAGCTGCCAGAGCAGTCATATTACTGCCCTAGGGACCATTTTAAGGTTTTTGATGTCTTTGTCTTTTGTTTTGATTCACCATTTTTAATTTCTGTTACTTGAAATTAAACAAATTAATCTGCCAACAGTTCCAAAGATCATGTAGAAGTATCCAGATAAATTAGTTCCAAGTAATAAAAACTTTTCTACAGTCTACATGTTTATAATAAGAAAGTAAAGCAAATAGTTTCTAAGCAAGAGTAATTGAGTATTTTATTCTAATTTGTTATTGGCAGTTCAAAAGGCATAACTAATGAATTCCATATTTAATGTCACATTTTTCAAACATTATTATTTTTTAATGAACTCTATTATACCTAATTAATTCCTTAAATTTTTAGTATAACTTCAAGAGTCATGCTGTCCACACAAACATTTTCATGGAGATAGTTAAACCATTTAAACCATCCGTCTGTCTTCCTATTTGCCCAGATATTTGAACTTCACACTACCCATCTGTCTTTCTATCTGGTGCAGAATGATTCACAAAATAAACAAAACTCACTAAGATTTTATAATACAAAATAACATGGGAAAAGTTCAAAATTTCCCAGATGCTTTTTTTTTCTTTATTGGGTACAGTGTCTGACACAATTGGAAGAAGAGTAATATAGCCAAAATCTAATTATTATCAGCTAAACAATGGTTATTAACAAAATAAAAATTAGATGCCTTTGAAGAAAACATCCAATGCAAAATTCATTACATTAAAAAAATAACAATAAATTCTTCAAAAACACCTTGATGTTTAATATTGAATTTGAGGTTTTA